AAACAAAACCAAAGAGTGAGCAAAGGATAACGAGTTCCAACCATCCCCAATCCAAGCAAGACCGATGGAGTACGGTCTGGGAAGAAATTACCTCGTTTCGGATTTTGGTATTTATATATGCAAAATTTTGGTAAAATTCGTGTGCAAGAGTTTTCTCAAAGCTATTTAATAGTAGAATTTTCGTAAAATCCTCTCTCAAACCTGATGAGCTCTTGCTTCCACTCCTTCACCTGAAATTTCAACAAAATTGGATTTGTTTGGTATAGGAGATGACTGAATTCATAAAAGTTGATAGAGATTTAGAGAGACCTTCTGCTCTCAACAAAGTGCATCGGATCAAAAGAAGGTTGAGTGCCTTGATTTTGATTGAGGTTGAGCTTTGATCGGAGAAGAGAAAAGGCGACTGCGAGCTTAACTTATTCGTCATTTGAAGCAGAAGATTTTGAATTTTGGTAAAATGGTGATGTTGATTAAGATTAGATTTTTTGAGACAAAATTGTAAGAGTATCAAAGATTAGAGGATTAAAAAAAAAAAAAAATCAAGAAATAAGGTTTGACTGTCAAATATTTATGATATATTACTTATGCAAGTGAATCATTTATCAATGTATATTTTGAATTTGCACATTAATATAAAATTGTTCATCATATCTTGATGAAATGACATTATGCTTATGCATAATAATGCTGATATTAATCCTAATGTTATTGATAAAATAGATGGTATATTATTATGTTAATCAATCTTTTATTAATATATTAAAATGCATTTTTAGTTTCTTTATTTAAATTACCATGTTTCAAGAAATTTTTATCAATATATTATATTATGTTTTTTCTGATAAATTTTATTTTATCAAGTAATGCAATTTAATTTTTTTTTTACAAGTTTATTAATTATTTTAAATATATTTTGTATTTCAATTTTTAAGAATGAAGAAATTATAAATATGCAATTTTCATAACCATTCTTACTTTTAAGTTTTGTATTATTTTACCATGAATATGTATTATTCTAGAAACTTTTTGTTTATGTTTTATTTCATTTTAACAACAAAAACTAACGATAAGGAGTGTGGTAGGTATCTAAGGATGCTATTGCAAATTCAAAGATTTAATTAAGAATTAGCTGTGTGTGAAAGCATCAAGTTCCAATTACAAAATCAATATTTAATGAGTTTGCTAAACAAAATCAAATATACGATAGATGACCATATTCCCAATAACAACTCATTACACTGAGACCACTCATAATAATCACAAAACTAAATTGTAGAATAGGATTTCATAACTATCAAAACTGGTTGTGTGAGCAAAGCAATTGAATTGTATTATCTTCAATAAAATTATTAACCTAATTCCTAAACTTAGGCTATGTATAAATTCTCATGAGTAATACTACACATATATCATTTTCATACAACATTTCTCATACAACATTATATGACAAGATATGATTGACTAATTTAAAGTTAAAATTAAACTTTCACCCAATTACATTTTACCACATAATATTGTATGAGAAATGTTATATGGGAATGATGTATGTGTAGTATTATTCAATTCTCATATTGGTTGTATTTGACTGACCATTCAAAATTATTTAAAAGAGGTCTATAACAATTGCTCTTCAATTTAAAAGAAATTATATACATAGAACAATGGCATCCCTCTCCCTCATATGTTTTACATCCCAAATAAGGTAACACTGAAGTTTGTGATTATATGTATACAAATAACATTATCGTCATATAAATTACTCCAAACACATCAAAAATATCATTTGATAATGTACCACTAATATTCCACAATGGCTACTGCATAATTGATTAACCAAAAAAGGAATGCACAAGGAAGGTAAGGCTTAATCAAATTTACTAGTAAAAATGCATTGCAACTATTAAAAACAGGAAAAGCGGAAGATATCAACAAATTCTAGCAATATCATCAATAACAGATGTTATGCTACTGCTACTGAAATAATCCCAAACTTTGTATAAAATGGCAAATCCAACATGCCAACACGACCTTGCAAGAGAAATCATCTAAATAATGAATCTAGAACTATGATCAAAGGGCTAACGTCTTATTTTGCTACCCAACATTATATAGAAATGCATCAGATTTGGGTTTATACAGGTGGATAGGAAACAAGATTAGATTTTCTGATGGTTGGCACGTGACAAACTCATTAGCTGTGTAAACTCCTAATGTCCATGCCAAGTCTTTCACAAAGGATTATGTAGAGAGGAACCACCCAAGGGTGACACACAACCAAGTAAGAAATAGCTCAAAATGAGCTTGGTTATCAACTCTCTATTTCCTGATGAAAAATGGAGTTGAGAGAAAAGAAACACCTCTCTCAATATACATTCATTGTAAAAATTGTTATATATAAGACGGCCTTCAAGAGAAGGCAAGACTGCACAGAGAAGATTTAAATACAATCTCCCTAATCAAGCAAAATGAGCCGCAAGAGTAACCCCTCTAAAACTTGATTGTTAAGGTTGAGTGGCACAACCCAAGGGCAAGTCAAATTGGCTTAAGAGTAGCACAGGTAACAACAACATCATGGAATTTCGTGGGAAAAAATGTTGTGACTTCACATCGGATAGAAATAAACTGGGTATTGTGCTTATAAGGATGGTTAGGTCATATCACTTAATAGGCTAATTGATTCAAGCGGTTGACAAGTACCAAGCCAATGACACAAATCATAGACTCATAAATGCAACGACTTTGGTACTTTGCCTATAACCTTAAGGCTTAGCTCTAGGCCAACCCTGCTCATGAGCAAGTATATACACTCATCCACCTTTAAAAAAAAAAAAAAAAAAAAAAAAAAAAAAAAGAATTCTCACACATGCAAACATTACCACAACACCACCATCGAAAACAAGCATTACATACAGACTAAATTCAGATAATGGTCACAGCTTCAATATGCATACGGACAACCATTGCCAAAAGGATCATTTGAAAATTCCAAACTGCCACACATGAAAAGTACAACTGCAGTGTATAATGAACATTCTAGCAAAAACTCAAACATGCTCTGAATCCCAAATGTGAGGGAAAAATAAATAAATTGGATTACACTGTACCACAAGCAGTTGGCAACATTATTAAGCAAATTATTCTTCTCATTATTGTATTGGATGAAAGACATCTATACCATTCCATTCGTGCTAACAAGCGTTTTCAACCGTGCTACCAACCGTCTGGCTCGCCCGGAATGGCAGGAATGAGACCGTGCAGCCCCACCACCTATTAAACTAGAGGCTCCAGAACTTGGCTTTATGCTGCTGGTGCAGGTATTCTATTCCAGTGAAAGCCAAGGGAAGATTGAGTTAAGGTGGGTCTTCTATGGTTGGAGCGAGGCTATGATTATTCGATTGCTAGGACTGGTAGTGGAGGAAAGGTTAGATGGGGAAGAGCACAAGCATCAAGGGCCAGCTAGAAATACAGTGATAGTCTAGTAGTTACAGCGAGTGAGCATACCGGATCAAGTTTTCAATCTCCGATATTATCCATTTCATAATCCTTCACCATCGAGGAGAAATTGTTTGTTTAAGAAAGGGGGAAAGCGATCCAGATGAGGACAGTCTCAGAGGATCTTAAGGTTATCACAAATAAATTGTATAACTCAGCAAAGGGCATTAGTAATATAAGCATGAAACTGAGCTCAAAGAACTAGGCATCAACTGAGAAAAGCAATCCACCAAGAGAAAACAGAGAAATTTTAAAGATTAAAAAGATAACATAACCAATGTTTTCAATATCTGCAGATTTCAAATTTCAAATTCATTCCAATAAGCTATTAAAGCTAAAGCTGCTAATAGCCAAGTACTATTCATAATGTTCACCTCATCACAACCCATGCAAGAGAAAAGAACTACACTGTAATCTTTCTTTTACCAAATATCTGTAAAACAAAATCTTTTAGACAAATCTGTTGAAGTTCACATAAATGATCAAAGAAAAGCCTCCTATACAGCCTTCAGAAATGCAGAAGCCCACTCAGTTGCTAAAGAATGCAGGGAATCAAAAGATTACAGTTTTAGTTACCCAAGGAAACTAAAATTTCTGTCCAACAAACCTAACTTGGTACTTCGTAAAGTTGAGAAGGCTTGGATTCAGGGCTTAGGGAGGTAAATATGAATCTATAAATTATATAGAAATATATAAGCATTGTCAACAAAACAAATATGTAGGCTGGCTCACAAAGAAAAGTCAGCAACAAATCACCAGCAAATTATAACTGGAAACCACGTGGATTAGAATACAAGCTGACCATTGTGGTTTCCTTTTATTAAGCGCTCCATTACTAGAAATGACGCAAAAGAAATTAAGGGGCTTAAAACGACAAAACTTAATACCAACTTCAGCAAGCAAACTAGTCATCAGTAACAAACTATGCCTAAAGCATTTATTTAACCATATTATGTCTCTATTAATTTAGAAAATTGAAGCAACCAACTATATAAGTTCATGAAAAATCATTTATTTTCTTCCTGAGGTTTACCACAACCCGACCAAGAAAATTGTAAAACCACATTATCTAGACCTGACTAAACCATAATTCTACTTACCTGATCCTATGCCACAATTGGACTAAGATGTTATAGCTTTCTTAAGCTTTATGAACAATAACTATTTCAACATTTTTTTTTTCAAATGTAAGATAAATAAGTATAAACCTTCACTCTCTTTTCCATAAATCTTTGGCAACTAAACAAAAAAAGAAGTTTCAGTTTGCCAATTTGGCCAAAACAGAGGCTATATGTCAGATATTTGATTCAAAATGATCAACAATTTTTCTACAACAAATATTATGATTTGTCTAATCTGGACAATGAAAACATAAAGCTCCACAATCCAAAAAGAATAAGAAAATTGACCAGACAATAAATTATATTTCAACTATACGTTGATTTATTCAATTAAACAAATTCACCAAATCAAATAGAACCCTTCAATCAAAAAACCTAAAAAGAGAATATAGAATTCAAATTGTAGTTATTATGATAGATGGGAGGAATCCATAAAGTTACATAGCAAACAAGAAAGTAAAGTCACATGAAACAAAACCTAATTTCCTCAAATCATGTAGACTCGACAGATAAAAAGCCTTTCATTTATATTAATAAAATCAAACAGAAAGGAAGCTTATCAGACGGGGCTGAGGAGCTGATAGAGCTGGGGTTTGGGATCGGAGTTCATGCCGATGATGATAACGAGAGGAATGAAACCGTAGTGAGTGATGACTTTAGCCTTTTTCATGGTCCATGTGCTCCACTCTTTCAAATAATCCGCCGTTGATTTCTCCTCCGCTGCTTTTGCTCCCTTTACGCTCTTGCCTTTGCTCTTCAGTGTTACCCTTGAACCCATTCTCTCCGCCTCTGTCTCTCCTTCTCGCTCTTTCTCAAGGCTTCGTATGATTATAAACCCTAACTCCTCGATTAAACAACTTATAATGTTTGGGTAATTATTTGACCTCCCCATACTTTAGGGTAATTACAACGTTCCCTATATTTTGGATTTTTCGGAAACCGCTCCCTGAATTTTAGTATGATTTTAACAAAATCCATAGAAATATATGTTTGTTGCACTATTCTTAAAATCCAATTATATGCTATTCAACTCAAAATATTTAGTGCATTTGGTTTATTATTTTGGATAGTATTTTAGGAATAATATTTGATAGTTGAATAGGGGAGTATTACGAGGTAAAATTTAAAAAATTCTAAAAAACCTCCTAGGTTTGCTAATTTAATTAAACACCCCAATATATAAAAATTGTGTAAAATGACAAAAACACACCCACTACCCATAGTGCCAGATTCCAGCCACCACCGTCAGAATCTGGCCGAAAAATTGTGTTATCACATAGACCGGTCGGATCTGTGTCGTAACGCGTCAATATGACCTTTTCTGGCCAGATCCACCACGGATCTGACCGAAAAAAGTCAGATCTACGGCCAGATGTGGTCGTCGACTACCGCAAAATTCCATCTTTGACCATCGCTGACAGCTAGATAGATGAATAACCAGTCATTTTTGGTCGTGGTGTAAGCCGTTGTGACAGATTCCGGCTACCACCGACGGTGGTTATCGGAATCTAACAAGTATGGGTGGATGGGGGTGCTTTTGCTAATTTTTAAACTTTTTTGGGTATTTAATAAAATTAATAAACTTAAGAGGTCTAAAAGTAATTAAAAAATACACTAATATTTCTCAAATAATGTGCCAAACAATGTTTGGGGAATAGGATTGGAAATATGGGTAGAAATATTGAACCAAACACAAAGATTTTTTTAACTTCCTAGGTTTGTTAATTTAACTAAACACCCCAATAAAAAAAGTTTATAATGAACAAAAACACTCACACCCACCTACCTATTCTCCATAGCCGGCCATCAACTACGGACATTTAATTATAGAGAGTGTTTAACTAAATTAACAAATATAGGGGATTAAAAAATAATCTTATGAAAACACATTTTCAAATTCAAATCCTATCATTCTAATAAGAATAATACTTTGGGTACTAACGGATGGGTACTAATCTGTGTACTAACTAAAGCATAGTACGGGTACTATACACATAGTAAGGGTACTATGCTTTAGTTAGTACACAGATTAGTACCCATCCGTTAGTACCCATAGCATCACTCTTCTAATAATAACTCAACTTTTTCAAAAATAATAAAACAAACACACAGGAGATTATTGTTGATGTCCTCAAAATATGAATCGTTGACTTCCTTTAGGAGTGTGATTATTTTTCCACTTACATCTTAAATCTAATTTGGAATTAGAGTTTAGATTATCAAATTGTCACTTATTTTTAAAATTTTTCGAGTTTCCTAGCATAATTTTGAAATCTGAATACATTTATACATAATAAATTTAATTACTTAAATGCTCCCCATATGATAATAAGGTGACTTTTAATTAAAATATTCTAAAACTAAATTATGTAAATTAACATAATTAATATAGTTTCCAATAGTGGTTGTTGGAATAAATTTCCGACTATATTTTGTGACAATATCGGTATTAAAATTATCATAGTTTAAAGCTCTGTCTATCCCTACAAATTTTATTGGCAAAAGATGCAGCTTNTTCATCTTTGAGAAGGCATCCATAGACATGTTTAGTATATTTCCATGGTGGAATATGACCAAACAAGTCTCCAAGTTCTTAAACCGTTGCGAAGAGAGTGGAAACCCAGAATGGTTATACATATTAGGTTTGTATGAATATTTCAGTACGTCCAAAACAGAACATGGATTGAATTGTTTGAAGAGAGCTGCTGATAAAGGACACGTTGAGTCAAGTTATATTTATAGCATCATCCTCGTATGTTCGGGAGGTGAGCACAAGCAACATGGCTTAAAGCTTTTAGCTTCTTTGAAGAGGTGCAGAACAAGAGAGTTAAGGATGAAAATAAGAGAGAATTTTCGGTGTATGTGGACTCGTAATATGATAACAATCAATATTGAAGCAGAAGATTTCAATTCCAGGAGCTGCGACTGTTTAAAAAATTGGAACGGAGAAAGATGGGAAGGAGAGGACGCTGCTGCTCCTTGTTGCGACTCATGCTTTTGTCATCGCGAAGTCATGTTCTTCTCTCAATTAATTTGGCGTCATTATTTGTTCAAACAGTAGTAGATTATTAGATGAGATAGAATTAGATCTAACCAAATTGATTTCTATGTTACTAATAGAAATTAATGAACAACTTATTATGTTTAATTTAGTTATTGATTTTTTTTAGTGATATGGATGCGTATTTGGACTGGATTTGCAAGGTTTTCAACCATTGGATTTTTTCTTTTGGATTGCTTGTATAGCCCCTCTTTATAAGGGTGGGCTCTCGGCTTTTGTCTTGCTTATGGCCGGGATTTTCCAGTTTCAGAATACAACTCCGGGTCAAAGAAGGATTAGAGAGCTGCTGCCATTAATGAATCCCACAAGTCATGATGGTGTCGATATTTAAATAAACCCAATCCTAGAAGGAACCGTACTGTTGTTTCCTTTTCAAAGTTTGAATCCTATTCCCACAATCCAAGTTTTTCCCAATTTCGCTTCCTTTAAATAGATCCTGCTGTCTTCCCGTCTAGTACTTATTTTCTAGGAACTGTTTGAAAGTGGAAGCATATGAGCTAGCAGAGAACGGTCTGTTGCGGGCTATCAGTCGTATCTGTAGACGTAAAAATCTACCTGAACGGAAGGGGGGTCTGATCCCGTGAGGTCAAGGCCACTAGCGATCTGCTGCACCTGCACACGTAGAGAAACACACACGTGAAGCGAACGGGAAACACCGGGGTGGTGTTTGCCGTAGGCACTCCGACGCTCAAGTCAGCAAGACTGAAAGGGGCTAATTTAGTGAGGGGTAAGGAACGAGAGATTACCGGAAGTCTAGTCGGAGACTGTGACTACGGTGACCCAATGAAACTCTCGAGTGAAGAGTTTCGGGTGTGAGGGTGTAATGTCGATGCCCTTTGTAAGAGGGCTGGCCTCTGTTTATATAGTGATCGTCTAGTCTCCCAATCTTGGTAGAAGTAGGAGTCCTAGTACGACTCTGATACAAACCCTAGAAGAATTAGGATTTGTGGTAAGCTGTCTTACCCGTGTCCGTATGGGAAGGTGATTCTAATTAGGAGTAACTCCGAGTAGGAAAGTGATCAGGAATAGGAAGGCGACCTTGAATGGGAGATTGATCAGGAGTAGGAAAGTATCCTGAGGGGGTTGTGGGCTTTGGATTTGTCCATGGACCTAGGACATGGTCCAGGTTTGAGAGGCTTGTGCCTGCTCAGTTTGGGCCGTTTCGTTCCTCATGTTAGACGAGAACTATGGCTTGGGCCTCCGTAGGACTGGACTTGGTCCTTTTTCCCTATTTGGGCCAAGGACGATTTTTGGCCCTAACAGTTTGTCCCCCACTCTCTGAGTTGGGTATCTCAAGTTAGAGAGTAGGTCGTACTCAAGACGAGCTCGTTCTTTCCCCATGGGCGAGCAATCATTGGAGAAAGTAGACTGACGCGAGTGATTTGGTTGGGTCTTGGTCGATATACATTCCCGAACAAGAGCATGCCGCCACGTGTTGTGCCTGATCGGTTCAGTGAGCCGAAGAGCCGAAAGCTAGGTCGGGTCGCTCGGTATGTTAGCACGATTATCGTAGAAACACCGCGAGAACGGTTGTTCGTCCTTCCCGGTCGGGCCAAACCCAAAATGTTTACCGAGATCCCTTTGGTCGGGCTGTAGGGACGACCAGATGGGAGACTAAAAATGTTGACCCATCGTTCGCCTCGGATGGGCGACTGGACGAGGCTTGATGGCTTCCTGAAGGTTTTAACTCGGGCTACGCCGAGCTCATGCGTCCATCGTTCGAGCTTTCCGGGTCGGTCGAACGTGAGGCGCCCGAGAAAGCTCCTGGCTTGAGAAACTCGGTCGGTGGGATGGGTCGATCGGCCATGTGCGCTACTGGGTCAAATATTGGGTGTGTCAGGACGTACTACTGATATGTTCCGTCTGAGTCGGTCGGGAGGGTCGGTTGACCGAGATGCGGAATCTGGACAGTCTCACGATTTCCCAGGTGGTTAGGATCACTGCCACATGTACGGTGAGAAATGATTCGTCGTTTCGAGAGCAGGAAAACGAAGAGACTTCTGACAACTGATCAATCATAGCCTGCCACGTGTCCCCCCTTTTTCTTTACAAAATTGGGGAGCGGACTGTTCGTCTTCCATTTCAGTTTGGTTTTTCGCGTTTTTCTCCCAAAAATCCTTCACCCCTTTTCTCTGCGTTTTTGTCCCAGGTTCTTGAGCGAAAGTGATTCTATTCCAGTCTTACAAGGTAATTTCTTCTTTTTGGCGTCGTTTTGTTGTTCTTTTAGGTAGTTTTTTCTTTTTTGGTAAGATTTCTGGAAAGTAAAGCAAGAAGTTTAGAGTTTTGTGGGTTTAGACTGGGTTTCTAGGCGTTTTTGGTGTTAGAATACAAGAGAAATTTTCTAGGTTTGAGTTTTCCGGTGAGTTTCTGGGAAGAACTTGGTCGTAGGTGAAATTTCTGGGTTTTGGGTTTACATCTTGAAGGACGGAAAAAAAGTCAATTTTGCGTGGTTTGGGTCGGTCGGTACGTCTGACCGAGGGCTAAAAGTGTGACGGGAACAGTCGCTTGGGGCGAGTGAGTAGTGTTCAAAGACAGCAGACTGGGATTGACGTTTCAGTTGGATCGGTCGTCCGGGGCGAACGATTCAGCGTCTTCGAGTCTGGCGGAGGTTTGTTCGGTTGGATAGGTCGAATCGGAGTAGAGACTCGTTTGCGGTGACAAGCAGTTCACCCTTTCGGTCGGTCGGCTAGTGGGTGACTGGTGTTCCATTCGTAGAACAGCGACCGAGGCTAAGTTCGGTTTGGTGTAGGAGTCGGTCGGTTGGGCGG